GTCCTCAGACGCAGCAGAGCTTCTGTTTGAATCGCCGAGCTTTCATCAGAACAGCCAAGCTTGGAAAGGTCAATCACCTAGCGACGGATACTGTTGGCTTTTGGAATGGACAGGTGAACACGGAACAATTTAATTTTTTTACCGTGTGTGCATTACTGTCATTTAAACACAGAAATGAACTAGACTTTTTTTTTTAAATTAGAAAGTTCAATATTGGTTTTAAAGTACAGCCATCTCTTGGCACACTGCCTGGTTTGGGTGGCAGAGAGGAAGTTCATTAATAAGATTAATCAGATGAATAACTGTCCTACAGTCTAACCACAAAGTTGCCCTGCAACACTGCCCACAACTCCCAGCCGTGTCTGAATGTCTTCTCACCTCCATCAACGTAGAACATGGAGCATCAGTCATTAGTCCAGTTCAAGAAACAGTATTAGGAAATATTCTTGTTTCAGGCAGATGGTGAACACACTAATGTCTTCAGCAATGTGTCTATGTATACCATATATGAATAGGATTAAGAGCAGCACCAAGGGTTCTACAAGTACCTACAAGTATTTCCCATTGGCCCCTACCAATCATGCCCTCCTAATAATCCCCCTCTGTGAATTGGCTACATTACTCTGCTCTCCTCCCCACTGATAGCTGGTGTGTGGTGAGCGTTCTGGCGCACTATGGCTGCCGTCGCATCATCCAGGTGGGGCTGCACATTGGTGGTGGTGGAGGGGAGTCCCCATTACCTGTAAAGCGCTTTGAGTGGAGTGTCCAGTAAAAGCGCTATATAAGTGTCAGCAATTATTATTATTAAGTGGCAGCTAGATTTACATTATACCCGGTGAAACGGATCCAAATACTGCCTGTACTTCACGACATGACCACCAGAGGGCTCTACCACCCCAGAGCCTTGTCAGCAGTTAAAAACGAGTACCATACAGAAGTCCGTTCCGGTTGGGGAAAAATTATTTTATTCCACTCTCCTTATTTATCATTCTCCTCCCTTTTCCCTTCTGTCTTTATATCTTCATTTTAAGCATGAAAACACTTTAAATTTGCACTGGATTGAAATGAAGCAGCTCACCATTAACAGAGGATACAGAAATGGGTTTGATACTTGAAAGCACTGACGTACCAGGATTGCAAAAACGTTCTAAAGCATTCGTCTGCTTTCGTGCACACAGGTGCGCTCTGCTTTGCTGTCACCTGCTCTGCTCCGCATGGCTCCTCATCAGCAAAGCTGCAGCTTATTAAGTGCCAGGCGAGCCCTCCTGTTTGTGTTAAATTAATTAATCAGCCGTCATTACGCACTGTGTTCCCTTGTAATTGCGTGCAAGGCTACAGTGATGAATGATTATGGGGGAATGAAGGCAGTCTCATTACCAGGGAAAGTGATCTTAAACCCCTGTAATGAGACTCCTCTGTGCACACTGCCACATGGTTGAAGTTTATTATTATTATTATTATAATACTATTTAATATCACCTTTAAAAATAGCGTCTTAGAGTGCTTTAGAATATGATGAAAGTAATAGGAGATAAAAAGTTAGCGCATTAAAAAAATAAATCTAGTGTTTTGAATGCAGGGTAAGAGGCAAATTAATTAAGTAAAAACTTTTCTGAAGAAGAAGAATTTGAGTATGGATTGGAAAGTGTCAGAGAAGGGGACTGTATGTAGACAACCCTGGGGGACAGACAGGAGACCAGAGGCAGACAAGCAAAGTGATGTTCCCACTAAAGACAAAGCCTGTCTGTATGGCACACTTCGGCATATAAAGTCTGTCCTGCACAAACAGCCCTGGTGTGCAGATTACTTTTCTTTTTTATAAAGGAAGGAAAACATCCCAGTAGGTGGGAAAGGTGTGATATCAGTTCACCTGTTCAAGATGCCGTGCAGGCCTGTGCAAAACGTACGTACTTTTCTGAATAGCCGATTGCTATCAGACGGGGACACTGGGCTCAACAATGTGTTCTGCTAAGAAGCCCAAGCACCGATCCACAGTGCACCCCAAGATGAGACTTGTATTTGTATCATTTGGGGTGCATATTTCCTTTGACAGATTTGGCAATTCAGAGACAAAAGAGGAAAGGAGGTTTGCTTTATATAGTTTGGCACAGACTCCATCTGCTATAGTTAATTCATTTTAATTTTGTTTGCACTTTAAAAATTATGGATCTAACTGCGCATTTTTCTATTTTGCCTTTGATGGCAGAGTGATAAATCCTAAAGGAAGGACTGCCTTTGTCTAGCAGAGCCTTCTTAAAATCCTTCCTGAAATCTCTTTGCTTCCCCGCAGGAACGCAGGAAGAACACAAAGGCCAAAGCAGGGAAAAGTGAAGTTTCCCTTTTTAACTTTAACTAAGCGTCACGCCGACAAGCAGCTAAAATCACATCAGTGCTGCAGAGAACTGGCAGAACACAGCCCAACGTCCCCAATTGCTGTATCTGGCACAATGTTTTTCTTCTGAAAACGAAAAGGAAATTAATTATGTTGACAGTTCCTTGTGCAAAACATTGAAGATGCCATTTATTATACTAGTATACAATGTAACACTATCGCTAGCAAAAAAAAAACATATGCAAATGAGTGAATCTTAATTAAGGGAGCCAAATTATTGAACGCATGAATAATCTATCACAAACTGACACAGCAGGGCACTCTGTTCTAAACTGTCACCTGACACAGCAATCATGGAAAACACTCATTTCGGTGCCCGGCATAATTGATTCGGAAAAGGACTACCTTCGTACAACCCAATAAAATAATTAGTTTCCTCTAGAGTTAGTTATTAACCTCGGTGTGCCGGTACTTATGTGCCCCATTCATGTGCAAAATATTCTTTTCATCTTCTTTATTTTGAGACACGCGGCTGTTAGCACACAGCAATCTCCTCCTCTCTGAAGTACAGTCAGCGAAGGGATCAGGTTAGCAGAAGATTAATTAAGGCTCTGGCTAAAATCTCTTTCCGTTTAAAGGCTTAGAGGTGTTATTGCTTTGCTCCTAGTTCAGCAGGAAGTTCCTCGGAACAAGTCGCTGCACTAAACCAGTGTGGTATCAGTTTGTTTTCCTTGCGGACACTTTCCACAGGGCCGTGTTTGAGTTGATGCATTTACTGTGAGTACAGGGTACTGTAGTCTACTGTCCCGCAACACCATTACTGTTAAAACATGGCTGGGAGTTTAGCAAATCTATTGAAATGAAAAGGTTAGGGGGAGGTCATACTCTAATCTCACCCCTCCTGCCCACCTATCTCTGAATGTTATACGTGCATGGTTCATTTTCACACCCCTGCCTCCACCTCATCTACACCTTTGCAACTGCTCCCTGACTCATCTTTCATTAAAGTTGGGAAGACAATACTCCTCTTGTATACATTTACCAGGAGAGTTAGCCCAGCATGACCTACATTTCCTCCACACGGGAGCTTTGGTCGCACAGTCCCAGTTTTCCGGGGTATTCATCTGCTCAATGACTGTATGGGAAGGTTTCCGGAAACCACACAGCCCAGAGTCTCAACTGGGGACTGGAATCCAGTAGGGTTCGTATGTTCCTTTAAATCATGAGCAGCACAAAGCTGTCTAGAAGAGCTGAACTGGTCTGCTTAACCTTTAACTGCATCACTGTAGCTGTTCTACCAGGTCCACAGCTGTTCCTAACTTCATGAGACACAAAGAACTTGCTGAATTCTGGACCTTCACTGTCCGGCCATAGCCAAACCTTATCCAAACAGGTGCATTTGCAGACCGCACAGCTTCTGAACTGCATGTAAAACAAAAGTTTAGGGAACTGAGGCATTGTAACCACTGTCCAAAGTAATCACAAACGGTCAAAGCTTGTGTGTGGAGGAAATCAGGGTCCTGCTGGCTTTTGTTATTTAACAAAACAGAACATTAAAGCTACTGTATACTGCTGCACCCTGAACAGCCGCAGAATAAATGAAAGTGCAGCCAAACTGTGAGAAGCCAGGGAGAACGTTTGAGTGGAAGTGTATATTTAGTGGCACATTAATGCGAGTCCCTGCGCTATTGCATTGTCACGGGGTGCAGTCTCCTCTATCCTGACAGCTGCCTGAGTATCCATTTCAAAGAGAAGTGGTTGGATTTTTCATACTCGGGTGTTTTAAGGTTAATTTATCCTACAGAGGACCTATAAATACATATGTATCTCATATGTGTATACACAAGTCTTACGTATACAGTACATACTCAAGCTGAACTCATTTCTTATTTATATATACATAACTAAAAGTACGTTTTTTGCTTTTTTATTAAAATCCGTACCCTGGGGATTTTCATCGAGAACAGAGCGGAGAGAAATTCTGTCTGTGGTTTTCTCATGAGAAGCTCTAAACATAGTGCTGTTGAGGAATTCAAAGCTTCTAACGTATACGAGGAGTCAAATTCTTGAACTGTCGATGCCCCGCTGAGATAAACACTCACAATGCAAATTGAGCTCTAAACATACTATAGGGCATTCGAGGAGCACCTACAGAGCATTCACCCCACAGACTGGGGTGAGAGGGGTTGGGGAGGGACTGGAGAGCTACTGTATTTTACAGAACAGCAGTCCGTTCATCTTCACATTAATGTATACAGCACCTAACCTCTAACCTTGCTGCCACATTATTTCAAATTTCTGTCCCCTCTCCAAAATCCTCTCCAAAAAGGAAATTCTCCACCTTTTCCATTGTTTTCACAAGGTCTCCTGTTTACTTCAGCCTCAGAGGAATGTCTCAAAGTTTAAAAATGTCTAAAATAAACATAACACTTGTCTGTACATGAACTGTTATTTCTACCAGTCTATGTGCTGTGACATTACCTGGGAATATTATTTTAAATTCCTGCACATCATCACCTAGGAGGAAAGGAAACCTGGAGGAACAGGAGCAGTGGAACAGGGCAGCTGTCGATATCGGGGGAGTCTGCATGGTTGTGGTGTCTACAGACTCCCCTCCTAGCTGGGCACAATGAAAAGCTTCAGTCTCGCTCAATGGTGCTGCACTTACATTTGGATGTCCAACATGATTCTCTTGTCCTCCTCGACGTGTATCCCCCAGATGCAGTCCTGCCCCTTGTCGTAAGCTTCTGGCCAGTTGGGAGAGAGCACCACTCCTGCAGAATCGGTGATCTCCCCACTGCAGACCGCTGTCACCCCAAGACACAAGCAAACACCTCAGGAAATGTGCAGGATGGGCTCAAGCCGGGAAACACAGGGCAAGGCTAACGCGGAGGAGAGTCGGGGAGACTCGGAAAAAGGGATCCTGCTTTCAGCTGTACCCTGCATGTGATTGTCTTCTGTTGAATTTGTCTTTCCTAGCTGTACTCAGAAATGGGAATACCATCTCCTGAAGCAGGCGGGGCTGAGTCTTGATGATTGCCATTAACTAAATCTGCCAGCTACAGTTGCTTCTCATGCATTTAATGAGCACTTTCTTTACCCACAAAGGGTGTGGTTAAGCAAGGTGTAGATCTCACTACGCAGGGGCTTTCCTGAAAAGGCAGCTGCTCTGATCCCATTTAAAACCACCAGAGTTTCACCTCTTACAGTGGAGAGAGGGCCCTCCACTTCTCAAAGGTCACAAGGCTTCTGAGCTTCAGTGCTCCTCAGCTCTCGATTCCTTTGTTTGGTCATTAAGTGGAGGGCTATGGCTTCATTTTCAAGCCTGTTGAATTTCTATTCACATATACAACATCCCGTCTCATTGTAACGAGCAGCCTGGACACCAAAATAACACAGGAAGGAAACAAAACACCTGGTAAACTCATTCAGACCCTCCAGTCTGTCTGTGTGGGACATAGTAGTTGTCTGCCGCTGACCCAGTGTAGGTCCAGATTGGAATTGAGCCCATTCGCTATGCCTGGACAGTTATTCGCAGTAGATACGTCTGTACATGGTGGCGACAGTGTGATTTATTGTGCAGTCTAAGCTTTGTCACATGGTCTTAATCTTGAGAGCACGAAGCAACCAGGTGCCTTAGTTCTCCAGGGATGATTACAAGTTGAATTGGGCCAGCCAGTGGCAAGCCCACAGACTACAGCAGGAGAATGGTAATGAGGGGAGAGGGAGAGAGTCATTCTGCATCTCAGGGAAATCAGCTGCTCCTGAGGTAACCCTGCTCACCACGAGAGAAACCGCAGGTCCAGACATTGGGTGTCTGTGCTTGGTTGAGGAGCTGATGGTGTGAAGCAGCCATCCGTGGGATTATGCCTCCCACTAAAAAGTGTTTGTGTTTTAATTTCTGATTAAAATTAGAAATGCAACGGAATTCTTTTCTTCTCAAGCTCAAGCGTGAGAAATACCTTAATTTGTTTGGGCCTTAATTTGTGTGATGAACCCCTGCAGAGCACAAGTGGACTGTAAACACTACACAGCACATGGGATACTCCTGTCATTACAGCAGAAGTAGTTAACTAGTTATGTTCATTCCAATATCGCCACTTCATGCTTCTGAAGGAGCTCACCAGCATTCTGTAGCAATAAGACTTGACCGCTGAGAAAAAAAGTGTTATTTCTCTGTCTAAAAACTGTCTGTTATTTCTCTGTCTAAAAACAGCAAGGGTTCTTGCTTTCTTCCACCTTTGACAAAGAGATGTCAGGTGTCTTTTTGTGTAGTGGCAACAGTGGAGAGTGTTGCACACACCTGGAATTGGTAATTAAGGAATTAGAAGCAAATTAAACCCTTTGAAAGGAACCTTAAAGGACACAGCTCATAGGGAGTTTTGTGGATAATTTTCACTGTCACTACATGAAATGGGAGAGGTTTGATGACAGCAAACAGTAATCATTTCTTCTTCCTAAAATAAGTACATCTATCTTTTCCTCCTTTTTTGTTAACTACAGTACATGATAAATGAAATGCTATTCTGTGACATGCTGACTTTTTCTGACTTTCACCAGGTCCCTGGAGATTTTAGATCATTGCAAATTCACAGAATTATACCGTATGTTTTCCCCAAGAAGGAGAATCAAATTCCCAATGTGTGACAAGTCAGAAAGACACATCAGACAGCCAACAGGGGTTGAAGTGCAGTTTAGCCTCAGGTGTCTGTGACACTTTATAGTACAGGTGCACAATGATTCTGGTGGAACTGGAACGAGGGGGAAACCTCCTGGGACACCCACCTCTGCATGCTGGCTCGGTCTCGTTCCACTGAGGGTTGTTGGGGTCCACACACTCGATGATGATGGAGCCCTGCTCCAGGGTGTAGCCGGGATCGCAGGCGAACTCCACCACCGTGCCCACCGGGTAGTTCACGTCGCTGCTGGTGAAGTTGCCGTATTTCACGAAGGGCTCGTAGCAGTGTCCTGGGGCAAAGGCTGAAAAGCACATGAGAGGCATGAGCCCGGTTTTGCAGAAGACTGCTGATCCGCCCCACCGAAAGGCCAGCGATCCCAGCTGTCAGCCTGATCCGGCCTGTCAGCTCAAAGGGGACCCACCGCCTTCTTTTTTGGGGTCCGATGAGCCCATTGGCCTAATGGATCACATCGTGTCAAAAGGATACCCTGCTCTACAGCACTGACCGAAAAGAAGCAAAAAACAAATTGTGCACAGTCCCAGAGATGTTTAATTTCCCGGCTGTTCAAGATTCTAACAGAATTGGGACACTATCTCCTGTCCCAGAACAAGACAACGGGATATGGAGCTGACAATCAGAGCATCACCTGAGACCAGTTTTGGTTCAAAGGTGTAGCGCTGAGATAACAGTATATGGAAGTAGAATCCCATTGTCGCACTGGGCCTGCGATAGATCACTCAGGGGAGTGTTTGAGCAGGCAACTGATAACATGCAATAGGTGTTCTCCAGGGGACTCCTGGAGCAGCCAGGAAGAGAACTGCGGAAGGCATTCTTGGGATAACGATAACTCGGTTAAGTTTGACACGGGCCCTTGTGGACCGAGGCGACCGAGCCCGAGGACACGGAGCCGACGCTCAGCCCAGTGGCTGGCCAGTACCTTCGTAGCGGAGAGCGGCCCCAGTGGACGTTCCTGACCCGTCCGTGGTGAGCTCCACGAAGAAGTGCCGCGAGCTGCTGACCAAGCCCTCAATGGGAAGGTACTCCACCTCGTAGGAGTCGTACACGGGCGCCGAGTCGATGTTGTTCCCGTTCTTTATGAGCAGCCTGGAAACGAGAAGTGGGACACGGCGTTTGTGGCTTATTATTTAACACGCACGCCTCTGAGGAAGAAAGTAGCAAATCGTGAGTCGTCCGCCAATGTCTCGGCCAGCGAGTTGGCCAGTGTTTTCCTCCCAGCTTTAGTCACAGTGTCCTGAGATTATAATAAGATCATCCTAAGAAACAGACAAGGCCACGTGCTCTGTAGCTTCAGGATGTTATCCACACTGTCCACAAACACAGGAAATCACAGCTCTCCGCACTTAATGGCTTTTCTTTATTTATTGAGGAAAGACAATTCTCTCATTTAAGCAGGGTGTGAAGCTGCTTGAATCCTTCCAGGGGTCCTGTAGGTTTTGAACCATGCCGAATATGAAGTGTAAAGCACGAGAAGTGATCACGATCTAAACACATGCCCTGCCGCCTGGTACGAAACAGCACTGGGACACAGATGAGTCATGGGTGCGCCCAGGGTGAAAACTTCGTCTGGGCAGGCTCAACCAGCGGTTCTGCTAGGCGGTTTCCTTTAGCCGAGCGCAGATTACGGATGCGTTTCCCCGGGGTTTGGATTCGAGTAGAAAAGGAGCTCCCGTTTTCTCAGATGAGGGTGAATTAAAAGAACAGCGGATTGTTAAGTGTCCCCTCACGTGCCATCAACACAATCACCGCCCTGTCTACACACTAACACTTAGACGCTGACAAAGGTTTTTTGTTCTGCTTTCCTCACACGAACCTTTAAGACTGGTTAAGAGATAAGGGTTACAGTATGGGAGTTATTGAGGCCCCTGTACAACCAGAGTGGCCCTCTTCTCCGTGCTGGGCTGAGGCACGTGTGGCACAGAATACTAGCCAGCAGCCATATCACCCTGCAACTCACAGCTGGCAACCCACTGAAGCTAAGCAGGTGTGAGCCTGGTCAGTACCTTGATGGGAGACCTCCTGGGAAAAACTAAGGTTGCTGCTGGAAGAGGTGTTAGTGGGGCCAGCAGGGGGCGCTCACCCTGCGGTCCATGTGGGTCCTAATGCCCCAGTATAGTGATGGGGACACTATACTGTAAACAGGCGCCTTCCTGTTTGGGATGTTTAGGGATGAGACGTAAAACCGAGGTCCTGACTGAGGGCGTTTCTCGAAAAAGAGTAGGGGTGTAACCCTGGCGTCCTGGCCAAATTTCCCATTGGCCCTTACCAATTATGGCCTCCCCCTCTATGAATTGGCTACATTACTCTGCTCTCCTCCCCACTGATAGCTGGTGTGTGGGGAGCGTTCTGGCGCACTATGGCTGCCATCGCATCATCCAGGTGGGGCTGCACATTGGTGGTGGTGGAGGGGCTCCCCATTACCTGTAAAGCGCTTTGAGTGGAGTGTCCAGAAAAGCGCTATATAAGTGTAAGCAATTATTATTATTATTATAAGACCGCTCTGCCCGCGACCCTACCTGTCGTCGTCCTCGGCCAGCGCCACCTTCTCGAAGTGGACGTGCAGCCGCTGCCCCTCCGGCGCCTCCAGCACCCAGTGGCACGTCAGGTTGTTGCTGTAGTTGCCGGGGAAACCGGGGGAAACGATGCGGCCCACCGTGGCGTTCCTGACGACGCCCCCGCAGGCGGCTGCAGGGGTCAGAGGGCAAGGAAAGAGGGTGGGGGGTGGGGGTGGGGGTGAGAGAGGTCGGTGGGGGGGGTAAAAAGAAACAGAATCAACAAACGAGCTCTCTCCTTCGTCTCAGGGGTGCAGGCGGCACTCGTGCAAGAAGAAGAAACAAACGCTTTTTCTCAAAACCTCGCCATAAAAGGAAAAAAAGAGGAAGAAGGGATGGGGATTCTTGGGTAAACTAAAATCCAGCAGTGTGGGATGTGGAGCACATTGAAATCTGTGCGATACGTGACGTTCTGCAGCCAGATTCTCGCTGACGGGTTTCCAGGTGAACAGAGCGAAGGGTAACCGGTATCGGAAAGAAACAGCTTGCAGGAAATTAACCAGCAGAGGGAAAGGCGCCCAGCGTGCCGGCAGAGCAGGTGAAGGTTACCCACCCAGACTGCGTTTAATTAAGGCCGTTCTGCTGATCGGCTGTCCTGGCTCATTCCTTGGCACTCTCCGTGCTGTCGTTAATCAGGTCCGGGCAGGCTTGCCAGGGAAATCTCTCTCTTCAGCCACAAAAGCATGCTGAAAACACTGACCTTTCAAATACTCCACTACCGATGTGCGTTTGCCTGTGATCAGGTTAGCTTAATTCTTGAAGAGCAAAAGAGGGCAAGTGAAAATAATGCCCAATTTTACTTCCTCCTGCAGCTTGGGTCAGTACGATTTCTTCTTGTTAGCCCTCCCACTGCTCTCATGGGCATTGTAAGGTCAAAGAAAATCTACTGCAGGGTCCGCACCGCTCCTTTTGGTGCTCCTGTACTTCCAGTAACAAAACGTTTTTATCAATAGTTTCTAATCAAATGGCACCGTCGAGCCAGGTCACCACCCCTGCTCATGCCCAGCTCTGGGCTCAGAACGGTTTAACATCTGCAGGAGTAACTGTAGTTTCAGATATCTCCGGAGATATGGCAATGGCACCAGCACAATCTTTGGACTGCATGGGAGCTGGACACATTGCATTTGAAGCTCAAGAAACACACAAGCAAAACCACATTGCAGATGACCCGTGAGCCGTGCTCTAAAGCACACACAGGCACCTGACATCATTTTAGACTGAAATCAATGGTTAAACCTCAATTGGCGTTTTTAAAGAAAAAGAAGGCAAATAAATAGGAGCTCATCTGAATCAAGTTTAATTACTCCAGCACGGCTGAAAATGTTTATTCAGTAATCAGTTGCTCCTGTAGTTCTAAAGGCTTATTGATGACTAGGCCGGGGATCGCTGGTGTGCTGCAGCTGCTTCCTGTGAGAGTCAGGCAAGAGCTCCCTGTGAAAAGGCTCAGATCTTCCCCCATTGAAATATGACTTCAAAGCCAAGCAGATTAATGGCAGCTAAAGGTAATTCATGTGATTTGCTCCCATGAAAATCAATTCAGTCTTGCATAATTCTGGTACAATAACACTGCAGAGACACTGATTGAGTTGTGACAGATTACCTGTTGTGGATGCATAAAAAGCACACTATTAACATGAAACACATACAGTATATAGGATGTGATCAATCATTTTTGGAGTCATGTGTATGGCCATAAATGTAAATTGCAAATGTGTAAAGCCCACTGTTTATGGCCTAAAACATACATCTTCCCCAGCATCATCTTACTTTTCTCACAGCTCAGCTCTGAACGCTTTAATAGGAAAATTTGCTTAAATGCTAGTTGCAGACACGCAGCACATTTTTCACGTCCGTATTCGTGGACAAATCGGAGCTGCCTACGAAGGCTCCAGGGTGGGGGTCCGGCAGACAGGAGGGCGTTTAGGGAGGGGGGGGAGGCTGGCTGGCTGTTCGTATGGGGATATGGGAAGGCTCTGATGATGGATTCTGGAACGCTAACTCCATCCTCAGTGTCAAGGCCTCTGCTGCCTCC